CTGGCGCTACTTCTATGTGTGCATGTACGTATGTAATCATTTGGCATGGTGTTCAACTAATAAGATCGGCTCGCAGGTGGGCCAACCGCGACATATACATGCGGCACCTGGGCGGTGGCATTGGGCATCGGGGTGTGGGTGTGAGTGTCGAAGATTCCAGAAGACACGCCGTCCGGCTCTCTCGACGTGGCCGCGCTCGCAAGAGTCAACCCGGTGCCAGAGTCGCGAACATCGCTCAGTCCCTCGGCCAGTATTACTGCGACTCGGACTCAGACTGGGACTCGGACTCGGACTCGGACTCGGACTCGGACTCGGACTCGGACTCAGACTCGGACGTGGTCTCATATGCAAGCGCGTCAGGATCGGAAAGAGGAGAGCGACCAGAAGTGGACGCAGATGAGGATGTGGTGTCCAACGACTCGGAGGGAGAGGGTGAAGCCGGAGACGAGACTCAGAATGAGATAGATGCAGAGCATGAGAGCGAGCGGGAGGATATAGATGATATAGATGATGAGGTGGCAGACACTATTGAAGGGGACGGCCACGAGATTGGTGTGTCGGAGGAGCTTGATGACTGCTTTGTAGACACCGTGTATGCTGCCGAAGGCTTTGCCCCACTCTAGAACTGGTTAATGATTGCCTCCCCCGTGCTAGACAAGATTTGGTCGGACAAGATAAACAACTATCTACTATTGCCGCGACCCATCCGTTCTGATGCTAAGCTGCCAGCTTCTATCGGACAAGACGGTGTCTGACCAGATTCCGCCAGCGCTTGCGATTTCCGGAAAGGGTAGGCCGGGTTCGACCGGCGTGGCCATGCCAGACCATTACTTGCTAGTTTTGCTGATGTAGCACTACTGCAAATGTGGTCCTCTAATTTTCGCTATTTTGCACTACTGTAGTACTATTTTGTGCTATTTTAGCACTACTCATTTAGGGGAGACTCAAATAAGATGACAATCCTTTATTTATAGCTCATAGTTCTCAACTCAAGCATTACACACCTCTATAGCTGCAAAATCACCATGATAGCTGACTTATATTTGAGGGCACAACTCAACATAGAACTTGTTATCATGTATAGGACTAGGCTGTCAGCACAGCATTCATACCATGAAGCATACTCTATAGCACACTCCATGTTATATACATAGTCCCAGACATTACACATATGCAAGCCTCAGCGGGTGAATCTCAAGGTGAGGTGTCACCACTTTGCCCAAGTCCAGCAGTGATGAATATATATAGTACTTGTGGAGAGGATCTATGTAAGCTCTGGTGGTGCAGTGGTATAGAGCACCCCTTCGGAATAGGAGTGTTATCTGAAAGTGGGGTTGGGGGTTCAAGACTGGGTAAGGACACTTTTTTATAATATTTTTTCCAGCACTTTAAATGCATCTGGGGCTTATAAACAGATGGTTTTGAGGTCATATTAAGCATTTCTACACTAGTCAGAAATTATAGACCCACTCTATCCACCACTATCAACGTCTACTGTAGCACTATTTCCATCTACTATAGTGCTACTTTGCACAAATTTGCATTAATAGTGCAAAGCAGTGCAATTATTTTTGGGGACCTCTCGATTTTGCACTATTTTTCACTATTCAACTACTGTGTCTATTAAGAGCTAATTTGTACTGAATAGGTGTAATTCGCAAAGGTGGTTTTTACAGATGACGTCGGATCGCAGCCTCTATCTTCCAATCCCTCCCCTGGCAACCCCTTGTCAACTTCACCGCTGCCGCACCCTCTGACCTCGAATGGGCTTCCGGACGACGCCCCGGCCTAGGGTCCATCGGGGACCGATGGACCTTAGGAGGGGGGTAATGTCACGGACGTTGGACAGACGCCCCTTTTTGCCGCCCATTTCCCTCCCTTTGACGCCCACCTTCCATTCGCGGACCATTTCCTTTTTCTAGCCCATCCCAATTTGGACACTG